CATTGGTTGCAGAGATATCACAAAAAATGCCAGTGTTCCCTAGTTTTTGACGCTGAGTGTATAACGTGAGATTTGAGTCCGCTCCGTAAAGAAATCATCACACATCGACAGACCAAACACCAACGCTGCATCGTCAGTGACAGGCTACATGGTGGTGATAGGGGTGACAACCGTGGACGGCATGGTTGTGATTGGCGTGGTCGCCGTGGACAGCATGGTGTCGTGGTGCTGCTGCGTAGTACAAGGAACGACGCTTAATAAGACCGCTACAGCTATCTGACTTTGGTCCCAGGGCATGAGAGTATTGTCCAGTCAGGGACAACGAACTTTGGAGGTTTCGACAAAATCAAATTAGAATTGTGAGCTCTGAATACAGATTCTGCAAGGTTATCATTACAAAAAGAATCAGCCTCATACATTGCGTTGTACTCATACTTCCTCGTCGCCATGTAGTCTTCGATCCATGTCATGTGATCGATCCGAAGGAACTGTATCATAAGGGCAGATGTCACGCCCATCTCCTGGTGTTGTAGGTCCTTGAGGTATGTGACCAACTCACGTGGTTGGGGGATGATGGGCTTGCCACCGTATGTGCCAGTGTTCTTCCGTGTCTTGGATCCCTTGAACGACATCATGTTGGCCTTCGTTTGTAGCCATCGGGGCACGCATCTTGCCGGGTAACCAGTTGTTGCAGTTGCGCGCTGAACGGAAGTTTTCTCCGCCAAGTGCACAGCAATGAGTATTTGTGCAAGCTTTGGGCGCTGTCAACGCTTTGGCGTTGCAACGACGTGGGCAATGGTGGTGGATTGACTTACAAGGTTGTTAAAACGTACAGGGATGCTGACCAATAGAATTCATCCATTCGATTAAATCAATTTTGATTGGATAATTCAAACGAATATTCCAAGTTTTTTGGCGCGGACTTATTCAGCGTCGTTTCCTGTAGCGCCATGTGATGCATCGTACTTCGAGAAGTTCTTCTCGATGTAAAGTGAAATTCTGGATTCTGGTAGGCCAGAGCTCTTCGAAGTTGGATGAATATTTTAGACTATCACAGTGCCTTCCATAAAATTTAATCACTTTAAGAGGAAATTTTATTTTCAAGTCGTTTAATATTTGAATTTTGAGGCAATGAGTAAGTCCATGGATTTCTCATTTCAAGAGGTCATAAGTCTACACAGGTCTAGGCATTTACATCACCACAGATACTGTACAATAAACACGACACAAGCTTAAGCGTTCTGCGCGATAACGCAGCGCACTTTCAAAGCTCAGAAGACACCAAGTCCCAGGCAACGATGGCACGCTTCACCCTGGCCGAGTGCTTCTGCTGCGAGGTAGATGAGAACGGATCATCGTCTTCCCCCACCACTTATTCCTCATACAACCACAGGTTTCGTAGGTTGCGCTTGAAGGGTGCCATCACGCCAACATCCAAGGGCCGACAGACTGAAGTTGCGTTTGGAGGCAGGGTGCACAGGTGAGCTCCAAGTTCTTGTGGGACTCATCGGAGATATGGCTTTCGAAGTTGTCGGCGAGCACAACTGAAGGGCCTTCAATGCCACGACCAAGGACATCACACAGGTAAAGTGCCCACACGCGTGCATCCATCCAGGCATTCTCTTGTATCGCGTAATGGGCTTCCTTAGGAAACGTAGGGAACTCACAAGTTTCAATCCGCCCATCAGGTACGCCACGCATGATGATCAACAGAGGCAACTTCCCACCATTTGCTTTAGCTGTGAGCACCGCGGTCATGCGCGTTGAATGTTTTTCGCCCGTGGAAATATTGGAGCTGCCGCCACGAACAGCCCAAATGAAGCTGTGAGGTACGTTGTACTGTACATAGTACATCCCCGTTTCATCGACGTTGAAGAGGCTGTCTTTGCCGTAGAGGCGGAATTCACGGTGAAATTTCTTGGCAAAATTCTCGTGGACTTACGTCAGCACGGTTTGTGTGAGGTTACTCTTTGTAGGTCGTTGACGAGAAAAATCTTGGCGAGAGCAAATCGCTGAAGAAGCTTGAGGAGCGAGGCGAAGGCTACTGTCGACTTCTTTGTCGCCAGGTAGAACATCAGTCATTCTCGCTGATTTAGTTTAATCCATGTGAACATGTGAGTGGTAGTTAGAGCACGCTCGTTATCTCTACATTCTTAATAAACTCGATTAAACGTGGTGGATCGGAAAATACTTCGCATGACCGCCTGGTTCGATCTTCCGGCGTTTCTTGTCGCCATCGTACGACAAGAGATCATGTCGCTGTTTATGCCATGTTCGTATGGTGCGGCGAGGTACACCAAGGATATGAGCAACTTCGCGACCAGACATCGTCTCAGGAGACCGATAGTCTTGAGCTTCGTTGAGATCGGGTAGGTTGAGCGCCTCATATTTTTTGTGTACCATTTGAAAATCCCGCTGGCGCGAACATAAAAATTCCGCCAATTACATTGCAATATGCAATATGATTGGATAATATTCTTGGTAAGGCACAAACTTCTTCGGTAGGCGTTGCATTCTGTCTTTCCCAGTACGCATTTTCCTATCGCACGAACAGCACCCACCCTCCACGCTACTCTAAACCATGCTAAAGCAATTCGCCATCAGCATCGTCCACCACCGGGTAACAGACTTCCAGTATTCGTGTCACTTCGAATTACAGTAGTAATTGCTTTGGATTTTCCCTTAATTGCTCATGCGACGTTTTTTGAACAATATAATACCATCGTCCATTTCGGATGTGTCAAATATATTAATAATTCAGTACGTATATTGCCGATGGCTGGAGGTGGTTGCTTTACGTAGAAATTGTGTATATTTGAATCCACCAATTTCTCCATGGCCGAGGTTCTACGTACTAGTACTTACAGTATCTGTCAAGTTGACACAAGTGTGTTATTCATGCCTTCCAATTGCTTTACAAATCCCAATACAACACTTTGCCATTAAGTTGACGCAATGTTGTGAGTTGAAGGCGGAGCAGACGGTCGCCCGTCCACCCCGACCATACTAATTGGAAGGAGTCCCTACTACCGACATGTGCCATTTATCACGGTGGTTATAACGTTAGTAAGTAGAGACAGTACTATTAGTAGTCGAAGATCGCGACCCGAAGTTTGTGAAATCACTCGTCGAAGGCCCTGCCCAAGCTTCCGATGTTCCAACTGCTTTACAGGAAATGTGATCGTAAAGATGAGGCAGGAGCGAGGAGGATTCCTTTGAGGCATGAACATTTGCAACGTCAGTTTGCCGTCGAATCGAAGACGGAGGTGTTGGGCCACCCACCCACCGGTCGCTCATTGGACTCGTTGGAACACCCTGTGCCCTCCCTAGTCTCTAACTTGTATTCCCACCCCACTCCTCCCTGGCATATTCGTACGCAGCATGGGGGTGGCGCCTTCTTCGTGGCTGATCTTGCCATTACTTTAAACGACGTGGTGTATCGAATTTGAGGCATGTGGATCGAACCGATTCGTAAGTGGACGCCCAGTTCAGTCTTCCATCCACGCGCTGAACATCCAGCCGCCGACGTTCTTCCATCCAAAACAAAAACAAGAGAGGGTCCATGGGGATGCCGACCCGCACGACGGACTTCTCTCACATTGCGCCGACGGACGCGCCACTTATTCCCCCTTCCAACGCATGGTGCATTTACCCAGGTGGGAGGTTCCAAGGCAAGGCGCCGCTTTGGCGGAATGTGGTTTTGAATCGAAGTTCGAAGCTCCTCGACCTTGAGGTTTACCCGGAAACATCCGACCCCTTGTCTATACATAGAAGCCATATAAATACACAGCGGTGGCGGCGGCGGCGTCCTGGACTTTGCATCATTCTCCATTAAGATGGCTCGGATGACCGTCTTTGTCGAGATGGCAGTCCGCGACATTCGCGGGACAAAGCGGCTCATAGTCGTCAAGTCCACGGAACCCGCCAAGCTCACATTTGCCTCCACAGACGGTATCGACGCGCTCGACGTGATAGAGCAGTACCACATCAAAAAGCTCAACAGCACGTTCGTGACAGTCCTTTGTGGTCGTGTCGGTGCTCACGACATGAATGCTTCATGTGTGTAGGTTCATGCCGTTCATCACACGTGGACAACTCCTCGCGCGCGTGCAAGACAGCGGCCGCAAGCACTATCGCCCCGTTCTCGATCTGCAACATGTCAAAGACAACGCAACGCTCATCTACCACCCGTGCACGGAAATGCAAGCCGAGCTGGAAAAGAACAAGTGCTTGACGCCAGCGATCGCGAAATCCCCTCCGCGGGAGATGAATCATACCCCGACCAAGACCCTGAAACGAAAAGATCGCACCATGTCGGACGACCGCCTTCGTGCGTTCATGCAGCTGAATTCATCGTCTGGATCGTACGGCTTTGACCCCACCGAGAGTTCCCGCGGGTCAGCTGATGACCTTAGCGACGACGACCTCATCGACTCCCACGGACAGTTCATGAAGCCAAAGCTCGCCAAATCGTCTTCGAAAATTCGCGACGTCCACAATTCTCCCATGGCGTCCACTAGTTCGCGCCAAGCATTGCCACAGGTAGACATGCTTTCGCGCAACTTTGCCCAGCTCGAGATGCCCGTCGATTCGTCCGACGACGAAGCGGTCGCGTTGTCCGAGATTGACAACACCGACATCTTTATGACCTACCACCCCCGCCGCCATGGTGTGCCCGCCATACCCGACACCGTCCACGACGACGTGTTCGTCACGTCGTCGTCGCGCCCATCCATCAACAGTCCATCCTATTGCGACTCGTCCCAAAGCACAAGCCCGTGCTGTCTTTACGGCGGCTCGTGCAAGAGCCGTCCATCGCTCGAATCCACCGCGCGCACGTCGCGTCCGTCGTCCGATTTTTCCATGTCGGATGTCACGCTCGGCAGCTTCGACGAAACGATGAGCTACTTCTCGTCGCCTTCGTTCTCGTACCGCGACTCCGTCCGCAGCAGCTCGTCCGGGATGACCATCAACGTCCGGTCGGACTTCGACTCGTGCTATGTTCTTGGCCACCAGCTCGGCAAGGGCACGTACTCGACGGTGTACGAAGCATGCTCACGGTCGTCGATGTCGGAGAAGGTTGCCGTCAAAGTGATCGATAAGGTTGACGTGCACGAGCCGCGCTTCCTCTTCCGCGAGATCGACATCATGACCTCGATTCACCACTCGGGCATTGTCGAGTTGTTCGACGTGTTTGAAACCGCGGATCACTTGTACTTGGTGCTGGAACTGGCCGGCCGCGAGCTGTTTTCGTACATCGACGAGCATGGACCGCTGTCCGAGGCGCAAGCCCACGGCCTTATCCGCAACCTCCTCCGCACCGTGTTGTACTTGCACGAGCGCGGCATCGTCCACCGTGACATCAAGCCCGAAAATATCCTGCTGGCGCGCAGCGGCAACGACGCGACCACGATCAAACTGTCGGACTTTGGAATTGCGCGTCGGCTGCATGGATCGTCAACTCCCCATACGATCCAAGAAGACACTGCCCTGCACAGCACGACTCCCCGCGAACGCTTTGTCCGCGCGCACACGCAATGCGGCACTCGCGACTACATCGCGCCGGAGGTCATGTCCGGCAAGGGCTACGGGCTCGAAGCCGACATGTGGAGTGTCGGAGTCGTGCTGTATGTAATCATGTCGGGGTATGCCCCGAGCTTCACGCCAAACCACGACCTCGTCTTCAACGAGTCGTGCTGGGACGCCGTGTCGGCCGGCGCCAAAGACCTCATGGGCCGCCTCTTGGTCCGCAACCCCGAGACCCGGATGACTGCAGCAGAGGCACTGCAGCATCCATGGCTCATCTCTCACTAGAATCCCCCATCCCGTAGGACTCCTATTATTATAAGAGGCGTGCAGTGCGCATGGCCTCAACACGACTCTATTTAAGTGTGACTTCCTCTTCGTCCGTGCCTCCATCTTCCTCACTCGACAACTGCCAAGCCGCCGCTCTGAGCCACAAGATTTTCGACGTAGAATCTGGGCTGTGGACGTTTTTCCCACCTTCGTCAATGACGTTCAATGCACCTAAGACTGCCACGCCATGCGTTAAATATATTACCACTCTGGCAATTGTTGCAAGTCAAGGGCTTTGCGCCATCCGATTGGCCTGAACATCGGTGGTTCTGCTCACTGAAGCACGATAAATTCAACGGTATTTTTACATCTTTTCTGTTTGACGTTTTGCAAACGATATGGCGATGCAAAACTCGCATACAAAATCGAAGACGTTTCTGAGCAACAACTACCAGCGACATGCTCTTTATGAAGAGCTTGCGACGCGCAGCTCGAATGGCAAGCTCTCATGCGAAATCGCCGCCGGAGTCTGCGCCAAATACAACGTCCATGAGACGACTGGGTGGCGCATCATGCAGCGAGCAAGGGCTCACCCACGTGGTAGCCGCGCAGACGTGACCACGCGAAATCACCTTCGCGGTCGGAAGAAAACCTATGCGCTGGACGAAATTGAACGGCGGATCAAAGCAACATCCATCATCTTCGACAAACGTACCGGAGCCTCGCCACCCACACTGGTTTATCTACATGGACCATTTGGAACTATATCAAGCAGCGG